ATCAGGACCACACATGGCATTTTTTATTTTCAATTAAATTCTCTCAATTTTAAGATGAAGATACACTGCATTAAACTTACTGCTTATTTTTTTATATGCAAAAATATGAACAACAAAGAATATCTTTAAAATTTTAACTTTTCTAAATCACAATATATTGGTCTACTCCAAACTATATCTCAGGTCTTTTAATAATGTTGCTTTAAGTAGGTGGAACAAAGAGTGGTTTAGCTAATAATGCTTATATACTACAAATTGATGTAAAAAAATATTCAATTTTGTTCTTTACCAAAGCACATAGGAAATTCATCATTTCCTAAAATGCATTTAGCAATATCTGGTTATGTATCTGACAAAAGTTAGTATTTTCACCCAGAAGATTTTATTAATTTTAAAATTTTAATTTTTATACCTTATTCTTGAATTCAAATATAGAATGTGAAATCTTAGAATCACTGATTACTTTACTAGAGAATCTCTGGTTTTGTCTGCTGATGTTTATTTTAACATTTTAGAAAGAAGGAATAGAAGAAGGTAGAAATGATGTTAAATTGCATTATATCACAGCATATTTAAATGTATATTATCAAAATACATAAAGGAGTAAAATAATTTTTATATAGTTTGCATTTCTTCACAATGCAATTTATAATATTATTTCAAAGCATTTAAACAAATCTTTCTTATTTGTTCAAAAGTATATTTGAACAATCATTTCCATACATATGGAATGTAATTCTTTGATTCCAAAGCATTCATTTTGGCTGTGGCCTGTTAATAAGCAAGTCTGTTGTAACTGAAAACAAATTTTAAAAACCCATAATCATTAATTTATAAGATAATATTCATCAAGATATATATAATCCCCCCAAACTAAGATGCCTGTCACTTCCTTCAAAACAAAAACAAAATAAATCTTAAACCATGAAATTTTAAATCTATTCCATCAATTAACCCAATGTCTTTGTTTTAAAGATGTTAAATGATTTCCTCAAACTTAGATAACTATTTTATGGCAAAATCTGAATAAGATTCTCAAGTTTAATGTGCTTTTGCTTTTGACTATTCCATTCTTTAACTTAAGACAGAATTATAAAAAATTTATAATTTTTGTTACCTATTGGAAAAGAAAAATTTATATTAGATATTAACCTACAATGAAGGAGGTGATTACAGTGCTATATACTAATATTCATCTAAGATAGCAAAGCAATGGCATTTACCTTAAATTTACGTCTCTGCTCTGCACAGCTGTTGAAGAACCACAAGTCTGTCTCATGGCTGTAAATGTAACAAGAACAATAATGCGACCAATTTTCATATCTAAACTAAATGAAGTAGATTTGTCAAAGGCTAGAAAATTGATAATGTATTTTATAAAAAATTTTAAATTTACAGATTTTAGAAGTGTGCATGTGTGATGTGTGTGTGTATGTGTGTGTGTATGTATGTGTGCTGATTTAGTCTTTCTCACCTGGAAATTACTTCATGAAATTGAAAACATTAAATATTATCATTGGCTAACTTTTCTTATTTTATGGATCACTAGGGGCACATCAAATCTAGGAAATACTGCATAGAAATAAAAAAGATAGATTAAAAGAAGAGGCCACCTTCTGCTGCTATTACTTGACTAAATTTTTTGGAAACCTTAAGAATGATGATGAAATATCTGGTAAAGTTTAGGTTAACCTCAACTCCCATTTGCATCATGATCTTTATATATTATTCTTCTTCAATATCTGATTAATCAATATACCTGATTGGATCTATTCAACTGGTGTTTCACAAAACTAATAGAATATATAAAAATATTTCAAACACACATATTCAGATACCTATTCATGGAAGTGAAATCACTACTGCCACTGGTACTCATGACTGTCAGGTGGTATGATTTTTTTCTTTTCATTTTGCATTAGACATGCTAATACATATACCATCTGTAGCATCAGAAGCTGAAAAAACTGATATTTAAAAATAGCATATATATATATATATATATATATATATATATATATATATATACACACACATACATATACATACATACACTGGTCTGCTAGAAATAGACTCTATTTCATGTCACACTTCAAATCTGGACACCACTTTTTAACACTTGAAAGAAATTTAGGTGAATGTTAACAAGCAACCAAATATTGTTCTTGTGATTTGAGCCATCAAAACAGTGGTATGAAATCAGTGTCATATCTTAAACTTCATAAAGTAGTTCTTTAGCAGAACTATATTTAAAATAGGAAATAGAAAGTTTCTCTATTGGTCTTCTAAAGATATTATTTCTGATAAGGTAAGAACCAGCATTATCTATTAACACCAAATTTCTTTTCTTGCAAGTGTAAATTCTGAACTACTTTCAATTACCCTTTGGAAACTTAAAACATAATCTCTAAAAATTTGGTTGAACACTTAGGCATTTTCTATTTTCAATTAAACTCTCTCAATGAAGATACATGCATTAGACTTACTGCTTATTTTTTATATGCAGTTAAGTAGAAATATATAGTTAAGTAGAAAAAACCCCTACACTGTGAGAGAATCTTATAAAAAAATTTTAAAATGTTAATTTCATATTATATGACTTCTTTTTTTAACACAAGTAGCAAATAGTGCAACTCATGCTAAATAGTATTTGCGGATGCAAGGATAAGTATTAACCTAATATCCCCATTTGATAACAGATGTGTAAGCTAGTATGAAATGTTGTTAAATTTTTATTAGATTTTTAATACAATCTCAGACTGCCTACAGTTGCTGAGCTTATCAAATACTATGAAATACAAAAAATGTAAGTTCTCATATTAATTGTAGTATATATTTTGGTGAGCACATAAGTCTTCATTATTTCTAAATTCTCATTCATAAAGTCAATTTCTCATCCCCATAGGTTTTAGCAAGAGATCTCATTAAAATCACAAATAATACAAAAATGCTACAGTTTTACAGAATATACAATGGAGATATATTTAGATTAATATGCATCAGGAAACACTAAACTATAAGTGATACCAGGAAAATACAGTATGATGAACAACTGCAATTATTAATAGGTAATTTACAGTACTTTTATTATTTTACAACAAAATAAAAATTTGAGGACTTTTGCTTAAAAATTTATACAACAATTGTTACATGGACAATTTCTTATTTTAGAGTCTCTAATATTTCCACATTATAGGTGTATGTTTTAAGAAAAATTATGTACATTTATATTATCAAAGTATCAAATCTTGATTATAGTATTACAACAACCACAACAACAACAAGTCAAAAACCTAAAGCTCAGCCATTCTTTCCAGAGATACTCTGGCAACCAGCAATAAAGAAACTTCTACTGGACTTAACTTTGGAGAGGAAGGAACAACTGAGAATTCCTCTACTTTGTCAAGAAACATGACAAATAGAACAATAAATACTGTTTTTCATACATTCAAAACAGGAACTTCTTTCCTATTTTTGGCTTATGTTGCCAGCATCTAAATTTTATTTTCTACATCAACAGAAAAGCAAAATTCACACTGTGAAACTATTGTGAGGATCAACGCTTCATTTGGTATCTAGTGTGACTTCTACTATGCAAGATTTTCTCTGTTAGGTACATGCATGGAGAGACTCATGGGATCAGGTAACTATAGAAATACTATACTCAGTGCTACAGCTTTAGGAGTGATATGAAGTGAGTAAAGTGTGTCACAGAGTTACTGATTAGTTAAGAGAATGTGGAATTTTTTTTTTAAACAGGAAAAAATTTAAGAAGAATTTAGATTCAGACTGATTCAATAAAACTTTCATTTACAATTATGGCAGGCATTATGCTTTAGACTCTGTTAAACATCCTCTACCCCCAAGTCTCTCCTCTGCCCACTCACTCCCACAAATGACTTTGTTCCCAAGAAAATATGTTCTCTCAGATTTGTTTAGAGACCATAATGTAATCCAGTTTTGGGGTAATAAGTAATTCTGGATTGTGTGGATCAGTAGCCTATAATTCTTTGTCATACAAACTGAGCTTCAGAAGGATATCATGGAAGACTTAGTTGCTAACATCTGTGAGTACATCTGAAAATGAAAACAGACAGCTAGGCCATTTAAAAAAATTTTAAAAAAGAGTGTTTTGTTAAAATAGAGCAATAGGAGAAAAATACTAAACCCTAAACGTGCCTTATTAGAATGTATGTAACACATGATTCAGGAAAAAGCATTGCTTCTCTTTCAACAAGGCTGCTGAATACTTTGAAAGGCATTTCATCCAACTCCAGAATCCACCTTCCAACCTTCCAAACGTTTTTTATGTACATCTTAAAAATGGTTTTTCCCCAAGAAAATGTCCCATACATTTTGGTTAAGAATACTACGTAAAACAATGGTTATATTATGTAGCAAAAGTTACTTTAAAAGACATACACATACTACCAGTTTCACAGGACAAATATAAGTGAGTAAGGACAACAAACTCCAGAATGTGTTTTTATAACTGTAGCAACAGCAATAACTCCCTGGCGAACTCAAACAGTTTTTTTGGCAATGGTGGAGGTTTTCTGCATTTGTCACTTGGATACAACTGCAGAAGGGTTGTCTAAGACTGCTTTGTTTCCTTCCATATCACTTTAATGTGACTTTACTTTTTTTAGAAAGAATTTTCACATTTTTACCTACATGTGAATAAACCCCATTAAAATCTTCCAAGGGAATTTTATACAAATTCTCTATGCTTATGTATTCCAAATATAGATCCTACATATTTTTTGTTATTTTTTTTTTAATTTTCCAAGTTAACTTCTTGGAAACTTTTGAAACTTATGCTAATAGAAAAAATTGTTTTTCTCTTCTAAGAAAAATGAATAAATTCTCTTTTGGAATTAAAATGACCCACCAAAGCAAATGTAATAATCTCCTGTATATATACAATTGTATCTACACATCTGTTATTATTATGAACATCTTTTAAAATAAGACCCTAAGGACAGGAGTGCTTTACTAACCTGCAGTGGTCTCTGTTTATCACTGCTTTTAGGAGATTTCAATCCACTTGTTTGCTGTTGTAAGAGAAGTTGTCTTGCTGCTTGCAGAGCCTAGAAGTAAGAAGGGGATGATATCTAAATATTTTTTATTTAGAGTTAAATTGATTATCAGTTATTTTGTATGAAAACCCTCACCTCCCTTTATAGTCATTATTCTTTTTTTCTCCAAATATGCAAAAAATTCACAAAACACATGTATGCAACTTTATTCAAAGTCATAAAGTTGCATGTAATCCTGTAGGAAATTAATTTGTTTAAAGTGCATAAAGGAAAAATGATCAACTGGATCAATAACCCCATTTCTACAAGGAACTTGTCTTTGAGTGTTGAACTAAAATGCCCACTCCCTTTTAAATTATCATTCAATTTGCATTTTCATATTACAATTTTGAAGCAAAAGCAGTAGACTTCAAGTGTTACCGGAAGCTGTAATTAAATTTGACAAATCAACATCAGATTATCTTGAAAGTGAATTAATAAGGATTTTCACTAAAGATTAAAAACACTTTTTTTATACTTACAATTCAAGGGGAAACCTCTCCTCTGACAAAATAAAGTGCAGTTTTAATGCCAAATAAAATTGAGTGGTTTTCATTTGCATTCTTAGCAAAATCAGAGAACAAAGAAATTACCACTCAACCAATCAGGTTTGTTTCTATGTGTGACAGAATACCAATCAAAATAGAAGATGTTTTCATTTATTTTTATGTTTTCTTACCCACTCAGGAAAATAAAACTTAACATAAGAAACTAATGTAAGCATTTCATTTACATGAGGAGGGGCAGTTTGGTGAATGTACTATATGAACTTATCTAACAAAAACTAGGGTCACAAAACAAGATTCATCTTAAATTATTTTAAAGGTAGCAATATATACTACCATTAAAAAAACAACAACAACAACTTTTTTTAGAGCCTGTATTTAAAAATTCATTTTCATTCTTAACAACCGAGTTCAATGAACACTAGGGATGACAATTTTCAACACATAAAACTAAAATAAATCATTACCTTACTTTGTTATTTACTGTTTTAGAATGCAAGATACATTTTTCATAATGAGAAAAACGTCATTAAATTAATATTCTTCCATAATAATTGAGATTCTCAGCTGATAAAAAGTATAATTTTGATTGGAATCAATGATCTGGTTTTTAAGAGAGTTTCCAGTATCCATGACAACAGTTGCTTTGACAAGATGTGCATATGGCATTACACTGCCAGCTGGTGTGAACAATGTTTGAACTACTGCATTGAGATGCTGAGCAAACAGAAAAAGTTGCCACGTCTTAACCCTCAGGGAAGGCAGTCATCCCCTGATCAATTATGAAAAGACAGAGAGAGGGCTGCTACAGTCTGGCTCCAAGCAAGTTTTCTGAGAAGGCAGGCAGACATAGAAACCAAAGTAAACAAACCGAATGCAGGAGCACCATCTCCTAACAACATTGATTTGTCTTCCCATAGCAGGATCTGGCACCATTTGTCAAGAGCACTTTTTACATTTGGAGACACACTCACTCACGATGATTTTCCTTTTGTTTCTTAAACTTTGCAAGTAATCACAAGTCAAACTAAATATTTCCAAGGATGGCACATGCCAGTGAACTCAGGAAATTCATTAAGAGAGTTTGGTTTGAAGGAAAAACAAGTAAATATCAATTCCATAATTACTTTATTACAAGACTCACTGAAAAATCTCACTCAGTAGTCTAAATAATAAAGATTTCTTCTTTTAATTCAGCTTGAAAAATTAAATATGAGTTGAAATTAACTAAATTAATTAAATTTTTATGGAAATTACTATAGTGTGACCTAGGGTGTGTCTATATAAAACTTTCAAGATTAAAAAAAAATTCAGTCAATTATTTTTCCTGTTGATGACAAAATCCACACAAAATTTGGCTTCTTTTTTCATATACTTATTTTCTTCTTTAGAGATGATAGTTCATCAATATACAGCTTTAGTTTGTATTAAGTTCTGTAGTCATTTATTATCTCAAAGTATTCTTTTTTTTTTAAAGGATTCTAATGAACAATTTGGAATCTTACAACCATGAATTACTAGGACTAAGAGCAATTATCAGAAATCATCTAATCTGATCCCCACCTTTTAACAAATGGAAAAAGTGAGGCTTAAAGTAATCAGTTGCTTTACTCAAGGTCACAAAACAATTTCTGAATGCTTTGTTCAAGGTCTCCTGGCTTTCTGGCCCCAGTGCATTCCAGTGGGCCATATTGTCATTATTCTGTCAAAAGAATCCCTAGATAGCAATGGGTAAAATTCTAGTAAGGGAGACTATTTGACAGTGTAATGAATTATTCTTTATTCCTAAAATGAACATATCCAGTTCTTGAACTTAAAAGGAAAACAACACAATCTTTCTATATCCTGTATATATAAATGCATAAAAAACTGTCATAGAATATATGTTCTTTTTATGGCTAAATGTCCCCATCATGCTTAATTTCAAAATCATTATGCATTCCACCAATACCTGATAGAGCTCTGTACTCTTGTATAATCTTTATCATCTGATCAATTATTACTAAGAGAAGTGCAGTATTCTAGAGTTGGATAAAACCTTAAAAACTGTATAACCTCACTTTTTCACTTTGTAGATAGGTAAATGAAGGACCAGTACTATGATAACTTAATTAAATCACAATGCAGTAATAGATCTTTGTGTCTTTTTGTCTTCCAAGCCTAGGACCCCATCCATTATATTCCTTAATTCATCGAAATTCAAACAAGAAACCCAATGGAATATATGAATGCTCAGTGGATAAGAAAAAAAAAACACTAGAAAATTAGATATAGGAAAGCTATTGCTCATGAAAATATCACTAGCCAGAAGCATATACCTGTATTGTTGATAAAGGAGTAAAAATAATGATGGGACACCACATGACAGCTTGGTACAAAATGCTGCCACTTTCAAAGTACTTTGGTTTTCACATGCATTTACAGTTATCTTTAAAATAGTTGAGGGTCATCTTCCAATACAAACACTTATGAAAAATAACTACTTGCCTATTTCAACATTCTTTTGTCAGCAGCAGAGATTGCTATAGTAAACATTAAGAGGTAGGAGAACAAAAAACAATTCCAAGAAATCAGGAATGATTTAAAACTCATAAGCAGGAATCTCTGGCAGACTGCATTCTGACTGCATGCATCATATGACATTTTTATTTCCAGTATTCTTTGGGGCTGAATTTCAATAAACAATTGCTCATAGATGTTTAGCTCAATTTGCAATTTATTATTGCAGCTACTCAAATGATAAAAGATTAGGAGATAAAACATTTTCATCAATATAAGGTACTAGGTGTCAACTTACATAAAATATTAATGTGAAAATCACTTACCACTTCTATTGATAAACAGAAAAGATAAATTCCAGGGCCACTCATAAAGTTCTACAAGTCAATTAGGTATTATATGGTAATCCTCCCTCCTCAAATTAATTTAGAACAAAAGGCAAGAACTGTTTACAAAATTTCCTTTAATAATGACTGAATCTGATTCAAATAAACAAGAAAGAGGTTTCTAAGGCAGCCAAACCATATCTAGTTTCCAAAACCACATTTGTTTTGAATTAAGGGTGCACTTCACTTAATGACATGATCTAATTTTAGTCAACCTAAAGAAAATTAACATAGGGTATTTTCAAAAATTGGATCAGATTAAATGTTTTGAAAAAAGGATAAAAACATTTATAAATAGATTTAAGGTACATATTTTGTTGGCCAAGGAGGTGTGAGAATGCACATATTTTCCAGAACTGAGTGCATTTTGCCTAAAATATTTATTGAAAATGTCATTCCTAACAGTTACTGTGTAATTCCGACTAAGCTAAACTTTTGAAAGAAAAGCAAAGTTAAAGCACATCACTCTTCTCCAGTAGTATTAACTTTAAGTTTGTGATGAACTACACAAAAAGCAATTCTATGGTGTAGGTCATCATGAGAATGAATTTAGGGTGAAAAAACTTTGTTAACCTGTCAGAAAAATACTTTCCCTCCAGAGAAACACTGAATTAAAATTATTTGAGACTAGTTTAGAAATAACCAGTAAAACCGAAAGTGTTGTGTATGCTTAGGTTTATAAATAACTTTTTTTCTGAGTAAATAGATGTATATTTTGGGAAGAAACAGACATCACTCATATCTCTCCCCATAAAAATAGGAATGCTTAACCTATCAGCCTGTTGCATTTGAGACATTAAAATGAAAAATGACATCTACGCCCATTAATATCTTCAATGTATAAACAGCACAGCGTGACACATTCTTGAGAGCTGAAGGCTACAAAATCTCTCTGAAACATAAATAACAAAGCACTCAGAAGCATATTTGATGTTGATATTCATCTCTGAGAAAAACACTGCTGCCTAGGCTTCTTATGAAAATAGATGCAGCCCAAATGGATCTCCTGTAATTGGTTTCAGATAGCAAGGTCAGAAGAAATATGATACAAGAAACGATTATGTGGAACAGGCGAAACAAGAATGTTTACACAGGCACTCCCTAGTTATACTGACAAGGGTGTATACTTTGCAGATAACCAGAAAAAAAAAAAATTGCCAGCAGGACATCCAGAATTTTGCTCCTCATACTCATATATGTTAACCTTTAACATGTTATATCTTTAAAATGCTACTTTGAACACTGAATATAAAATAAGTTTCCAAACAGAATTTCATTTTCTAATTATTTTCCCAACTGTAGTTGATAAAAACGTATATTCAGATCCTTCCACAAAGGATATGAATTCCTATTCTGTTCGGCCTTTTTTTCCTATTATGTTCCTGCTAAGGAGAATATACTGATAAATGTAATCTGAAGTCTCATAATGCTATTTAATAGAAGAAAATTAATCATCTAATTGTCATAACCTATTTTCAAACAGCAATCTATCAGAGTGAAATTATGCATCTGTAGCTATTGACCCTTCATTTTACCATGCCTGATACATAATTAGACTAAGTTTGTTGAAAAAAAAGATAATTATTAGAAAATATATTTTTAAATAATTGTTTTTTTACAG